TATTTAGCACATCAATATTAACAGTTGAGGAAATAACGTTTGAAATGGCAGTGAGGTTCAGACACTGAGTAACTTTAAGTCAAAACATGCGTACATTGGATGGCAGAGGTCACCCGCTCGTAAGGACAACACTTATTAAATAATACCCTTATAAAACATTTACCATTTGGAAATGGGTTTAGATCTCAATCTAAGTGGCATTGTGTATGTTGGGCTTGAAGACCATCTGGCTACCTGATATCATGAGTATGCAAAAAGCATACCAGAATTACACGTTTTGGGAAAAGTAAAGCATCGACTTTTGTTCTGAAAAGTAATCCCTGCTGGGATGTGGTGGGCCCAGACTAGCCCTAAAAATGCTGTTCGAATTGGTCAAGTGGTTAAGAAGATGTCCTTGGAAGCATGATACATGCACATCACATTCACATGTTGAGACGGAGAGAGATGTGTCCTTAGATATGTGGTTGATGATATGCTGACCCCTTCAACTCATAATTAAAACTATGTAGAATTTTAGACTTTACATTTAAGTGGATATACAGTGTGATATGCATTGGAATTCTGCATATGTACTAGTTAACTCTTGTCTCTACCAATTATTGGCATGATTGGTTTGCCAATCATTCACCTTTCCACCTTACCTGAAAAGTGACTTCAGATGTTGTGTGGTACGAGTCCATTCCTCGGCTAAGGAATTGAACATGTATTTGGCCTATCTTTGAAGAAATATGCATTGTATTATGAATGGATAGTCATGGTCCAAATTTATTGTTTTAATAATATTGCATTTTTTTTCACTTGCAACATGGCATAAGGTATGTATTCATTTTTACCTTGTGGAAAAAGGGTAACACATGTTACAAGCCTGCTAGTTATTAAAATATTCAGCTTTTTGTAATCTCTCGGTAAATGAGGCCAAGCACTTGATTTTTCCAAATGCTGCAATGTAACGGTGCTGGCTCTAATGGGTCCCAGATATGTCCTGGAGGATTGTCTGAAAAGCTTGGCATGTCTGGAAGCGATCTCTGCACAGGAGGCCAGCTATTAGGATAAACCGCATTTCCTTCCTTCCCCCCTTGCTTCCTCCTCCTCTTTCTTTGTGGCTAAAAGTGGAGCACCCAAATTAATGCTTGAACCATGGTTGATTGTGGTATTATTTTTATTTTCTCTTTGTTTTTCCCCCCCTTGTTTTTGACAGTGGCCTTCGCTGGGTTGCCTGCAGTACATCCTCTAAGTTGCTTTGTTTGTCTTGGAAACTTCATGAACTAGAGGCTAAATTTTGGCGGGGATGGTATGTCGTGGCGCATACCCATTTTCTGGGAAGTTACAAAGCACATTTGTATTTTTAATGGTGGAAAAATGCATGTACGTTCGTCATACATATTTTGGAAAAGAGAAAAAAATTTGAATCGAAATTGGCACAATGGCATTGCACAATATCACGTATGCATTTCTAGAATCACAGCAGCCATTTTAAATTTAGTCTCCATTATTAATGAGCATGCTCAGCTCCTAGATCCAGTAACTTTCTCATTCACATCATTCTGCTTTTTATACATTCCCCCCCATAATATTACATTATTTAGGTATAACACATAGCCTTCATTGTTTGATTCCAGCAGTTACTCTGTAAGACTAAACACAAACGTACAGGATTGTTTTACTCTCACTACAGCATAGTTACTTAAGTCTGCACAGAGCTAGTTAAATACAAGGAGAGGCCCTGTTGCCTCGGTTGCAGAATTTGGAGAATGTTGGTGTTTAATCGTACACAAGGTTGACCATTACACGGGGCACACAGTGGGATACCTTTGCGTAACGTGCTTTGGGATATCTTATATTCATAGGCAAGGAGATGGGATGGGGCCCTCTTGGGCACAGCCAGGTGTTTGATAATGTTCTCATAACAAGTTATTAATGGAGCCGAGATAGATGCTTCGGCTGTCAAAATGTGGACTTTGAGGCCAACGGTGTTATCTTGACTACTCAATCGCCCTGCCAAGCAGGCATTCTTAAAGAAAAAAAAAAGTGTCTGCAGGTTTATATTTTCGCAGCATGTGAATACAATAATGTAAAGTGGCGTATTATGTAAAATTGTTCACGCGCAATGTCTATGTATAACAATCTATGTTTACTCCACCAGTTTAAGTATTTTATTCATTGGAATTTTTGTGAGTGGCATTCTGGGTGTTGATACATTTTTCGTTCACAGCATAGGGCCACTGCACCATTATCATAAATGCCACAAAGCGGATGGAAGTGATGCAAGCGAGGCCACTGAGATAAGCTTCTGGTTTTGAGGGATTTGGTTTACTTCCTTGTTTTGCAAAAATGTATATCTCTGCGGTTTAACTGCTCATTCATGTTGCATGCAAATCTCTTAAATTTCCACCTAATGTACAGCAGCGCCAATTTAGATCTTAACAGCGTGTGCCTCATGTAGTTACCACAAATTTCCATCAACATGCGTTTCGCCAATGCCATGCATCCATCATTCTTCCAATTACATTGACCACCATCACAGTGCTGTTTTTTTTGTTATTACTGTTTTGATGATTTGTGATATCAACTTTTTAGAACTGGTTGGCGTTTGTTAAATTATTATTCATCCTGCAATGGCATTTTTCATGACAGGATAACGCTATTAAGCTGCATAGAACATCTCTTCTATAAAGAGAGCATTAACTCGCCCATCTCACTTCCTGGTGAAACATTTTACGACTGAAAATGTGGCATATCTGGAGAACAGAATGCCACATGATGGCATTATGGTTAGTTAGGTCTTTTAGGAACCACATGGCAAGGGATTTACTTGTAATTAATATACCACTGAGAATAATGTGCCTGGAACATATAGCCCGGAGGGTCCATGATGGTATCCCTGGAATAATTATGTACTCTAGCAGTAAGATGTATGTAAAGCTCATAATTAGAAATTAGGATTTATAATGTCCATATTAGGAGGTCTTTTTATAGACCGTACACCCAATTGTGACTCGGTTGAATTTTGATCCATGCGTATTCATGCATTGGATCTAGATTGCGGTGGACAGATGCCAAGCGTACCACGTGTCACTTCATTGTTTGGCATTATCACGCTGGAATGTCTGGCTTCACAACTTTGTATAACGCCTTCGTGATTATTGTTTTCTTCAGATACATTTCGGCTCACTCTAACTCTAAAGCAGTGCTTTCTTCTGCGACTTGCGTGATCCTTAAGAACAACAGCCTCATGACACGGCGCGTGTCGCACACAATCTGGATTGCGCTCGAGCCAGTGCTAAGGCCCAAGTCTATAGTTCGGCAAGGCAACACTCCACCCATACACCCACACACACACCCTGCAGTCAAAACTGGGTGCATGCCATTTTTTACTCTGGCCCGGCCCAGCGGCTTTCTCTCGCTCTGTGCCATTGCATTGTGGCACGTTAGTAAATGAATGGTGCAGTATGTCTTCGTAAGTAATTTTTTTTTTTTTAGAAATAAAGCAGTTGTTTTTGTGCGTGTAATGTTTTTGTCTTGCATCCGTTAAAGTCTACATGCAAAACACATTTGGATTTTTTTGATATAGAAAAAAGGCTGATTCTGTTTTTTTTTTTATAAACCTGGAAGTAATAAACTATATGAAGCACTGAAGTTCTGCACGTACAACTAATCTTGGCAGGACTTTGCGAACCTTGTACATTTGGAAGTGATCAATTTATACTTACTGGATATTTTTTTAAGGATAGTTTACAAGTTTAGGCTTTAGCAACAAGAATGAGATGAGTGGTGTTTTTGAGTTTTCTTCATTCATGTTCCCTTCAATCTGCTTTGGAATATTCTTCAACAATGACTGATTATTTCAAAATAGTTGTTATTTAGGCCTTAGCGCGTGCTTAGTTTATGGGAACTTGGATGACCGCATCAGTTTCCACTGGGTCGAATACCTTTTCGTAGTCTACAAAGGCCAAGCATAATGGTATTTTTTATTCATTAAAAAATTTCAGAAACCAATTTTTGGTTTGCTTGTGGTAGAGTAAATGGGAGAAAAACCGTAAATCCTAAACCCAACTTACTGCTGTGGTTGGTTGACCTCTACATTTTCCATTATTCTTTTCCCAATGATCTGCACAAACAATTTATATCCATGTGATCAGAGGCTCATGGTTTTGATTTCATGATTGTATTGAACGTATGCAACAAATGTTGACGGAATTAACAAAATACATATTAGACGGTGAGTTCGGCACGGAGACACACTTTCACCTTGGCTATTTGTAATGATGTTCGAAGGTGTTTTGTGAAAATTGGATTGCAGACAGAGGCATATGCATACATGGTGGCAGCATTAACCAACGTGGGTTATTGATTAAGTTAATTGAGCAAATTCTGCAAAGCGTGCATATGAAGCATAGAGTGGTGTACAGATAAGCGTGGAGAGAAGGAAAGGGGAAGGATTTGATGGCATGTTAGAGACATTATATTAGAGACATGACATTTTCTGTCAAGAATATTGGGTTGCGCAGAACATGTCACGAGAAGGCATGATTGCCAGCGGTTGGAACTAACAATGGAGTTACAACCGAAGGAGGGCATGTGCCAGTGGGGATGGTGCAGTGGGCTCAGATTTTTGACTGCTTGAGGGAAACCTTCATACAGCCGTGGATAAATCATGGCTATTCATGGCCGCGACTGATACAACAATAAAAAGCGGTGGAATATTATTTTTGCAAAGACTCAAAGAGAATGCACGTGTTTAGTTTTTTGTCGCTCAAATGTAAAACACGATGTCGTAATATTACGAGTGAATGTTGAGATGTACAAAATGACGCACCTGCGCACGTCTTTCAATCCTCTTATGTTCGCACGTGCAACACCATGCAACTCATTCCTCCTTGCAAGCGAGTTGCCAGTGCGCACAAACACACACACATATAGGCAGTGTGTTTTTTGTAGCTGCAAAGTTGTGTGGCTTTCCTAACTGGCCCTGTGTTGCCACGCGTGCCTGTGCGCGACAGTGAAAACTACATCGTTCGCGTGCGCGCTGTCGTGATGACGAGGGACGACTCGACGGGCGGCTGGGTGCCCCTGGCTGGCGGAGGCATCAGCCGAGTGGGCATCTACAAAGTGCTTCACCATGAAGAGACCGGGCGCAATGAGTTCCTCATCCTGGGAGAACGTCTCAAGGATAAACTGGTGAATAATGTCCGCGTTGCCGTTCAAGAGTGTGTACAAAGTTATTTCCACGCGGGTGCAGTTAAACCACGGAGAATCGTGGTGGGGTGGCACGCTTGTGCCCAGTGCTCGAACACACTTGCGAAAGGACAACAATTTAGAAGTTCACAAGCTGGTAGCATATGTACATATGTGCCAATTTTTGAAAACCACTTATGGATGAGGGCCTCCCCACACACTGTGTCATTATTTGACCACGAGCTTGTTTGCCCATCCTAGGACAGAATCTGTAATATTTACGAAAAAATTGAGCAGAGTATCTTAATGGCAGTGAATCTTGCACAAAAGTATGCCATAAAACACCTCACTTCATGTCACTGTAGCACTGTAAATAACTGACCTTCAATTTGTTCAAATTAACTGCTCTGATACTGTATTCTCTTCTGCTTCCGGTCGCTGTGGTTGAAATAAATGGGAATTCGATACAATATCTGGAAAATCACCGAGAAATGTCTATTATACCATAATGCAGAAGCATAAATTAGACTTACCTTTTGTCTCAAGTGCTGAAGAAATAAAGACACCAAATCCACTTTGTTGCCACGTAGAATTATTGATTAGATTCATAGAATTATTTATTTGATTCACTTTCAATTAAGAAATGTCAAACTTAAAGCGAATTTTCGAAAAAGTTATTTCCGCTCGACCTTCTGCGCGAGTGTAAAAATCCACCCGCTCATGACTATTAATGACGGGGGGTGCGGCATGTGGAGTGACGTCACGCACGTTACACACAAACAGACATTCTTGGCTCATTATCGTAGTAGTGCGGGTTGGTGAAGGCGTGCACCATAGACGCGGCATCGTACACTACAACAATGAAGTTTGCTGCACTGCCCTCTGCTGCCAACTAAATTGGCAACAACGTAGCAATGCGTACAGTTGGACAATCTTGAACGTATTTCTGACAGTGAATACAAAAAAAATTAGTTACAGAAACCGTTGAAAGGCTATCCAGATTATAATTTATATATATATATAACAAAAATTACTTCCTCAAGCTAAATTTGCATTGGATCTTTTAACGGTCTGCCAGACGTTTACTGCATCAACTTTTAATTTGAACCTTTATTTAGTTGAAAACTGCTCATCAGTCCAGAGCTGTAACACTTGGTTGTTTAAATGTATTCATATTATTATTATGGTAACTGTGAATATACATAATGGTCAGGCATGACTTGGTTTTATTCTTGGCCCTAAGGGTTTTTTTTTATTGAGCCGATTGGTAATCTTATCTACAGCATGTGTTGCAGCCATAGCATTAAAAGATGCAGTTTATTGGAGGTGGCCTGCGAACTCGGTACCGTTACGTTCTGTGGCAGGAGTCTGCGATCAAAACTGGATTCTCAAGTCTTACTGAGTTAATGGTATCTGCCCGATCACAAGTGACTTAAATAACAACCGAAAATCTCATGTTTATTTACTTAGTTTGGCCAATTTTCAATCTCTGATAAATAAAATTATTGGTTTGAGTGCCTAAAAATTTACTTATCTTCCTTCAGCAGAGTGGGTGGAAATGTGCAAACACGAGTGTAAGAGGTCATTTGAAGATATTTCAGTATTAGTGATGTACTCTCTCTATCCATGGACTCTTTTCCAACCTTGAATTTTTCATTTCATATGACACGACAATGATAGCACAATCAGTATAAAATTAGGACGGAATGTAGATTTTTAGGCTCTTGTCAATTTGGGAGCATTCTGTGACTTGCTGAGCAAAAGTTGGCCTTCACATGCCATGCCACAACTACATTTATCCGTGGAAATTCTTCAAAGGTTAGGGCGCTTACACACATTAGTGTCGTGACGTAAAACCTCACTGTGAGCCATGTTCGTGCTACGCATACATATATTAAAACTATATTGTGTATCTATAAATACTACTTTGTCATATAATCCATCAATTGCTGTTGAAACAGACTTCCTATGTGTACAACGTATTTTACTTAAGAATGATTAAAGGGGGCCTCTTGTCAGATTAAATTGAACAGGGTCATCCAAAAGCCACCGTCTTTGTCTCCATCGTCTTTAAAGACGACTTCTCTAAATCTCCGCAGTGAGCGTGTCTCGCCTCGCCACCTTGCTCATCGCTCCGACTCCCTCGCCTGGACCGCTAACCGCTGACCACTCGCCTCGTTGACAGGTCGTGCTGGAATGTGTCCTGAAGAAGGATGTGGTGTACAACAAGGTAACGCCAATCTTCCACCACTGGAAGATTGACGAGCAGAAGTTTGGCCTGACCTTCCAGAGCCCGGCGGATGCTCGCGCTTTTGACCGCGGAGTGCGCAAGGCCATTGAGGACCTCAGCGAAGGTAGAGGAAGTCACGGGACATTCGGTGTTTCATTTATTTATTTCTGCTTTGCGCTTCCCCTCTTCATTTGACCTTCACTGTGAGGTTCGATATGTAAACGCATTGTCATGCCTTTCCGTGCTTGTTTTTACAATTTATTTTTGTTTTAAGCAATAATTTTTTTAGAACTCCCCGTTGATAAAAAAGTGTACTTGCATATACCGCTGCCTCCGCGCTGCGCAGCTGCAATCCATCTTAACTCGCACATGTGCCTTGATGTCATTCTCCTTCTCCCCTGTGGTCGTTCGCTCATGTGTTTTCCTGCCATTCTGCCACTGGTTGTGTCCATTGGTTTTCATCCTTTCTGCAAATGTATCCTGACCAATTTAATATTTTATAGTGAAGTGTCATGGCATAGATTTTTTTGGTTCCACACGTGTGTTTTTATTTATCTTTCTAAGCTATTCGAAGAATAACGTTTTTACTTGGTCGGCAATATGCTTGGAAAGTTGGATGATAAGTACGCTTTATAGGAACAAATTGGTGTACTGCAATAAGTAACTTCACATGTGACCTGTAATAGGCTGAGGTCTTGTCATATCCATACATTCGTGTAAGAACTGCGGGCCAAATGCCACTTGACAAAAGGAGTTCCCTTGCTTGTAATGGGCTTTAGTGATGTGTGTGGTGTACCTTTTACTCTTTGAATTTTTTCTGTAATGGCACGCATTTTGTTGCCGCGCGTAATTCGCTCTTCGTCTTCCAGCAGGGTCCACAACGTCATCTTCCACGTTGCAAAATGAATCTGAAGTTGGGGATGACGATGTCTTCACCGTGAGTGCTTGTCTCGTTATTTCGTCCCGGTGTACTGTGCTTTTCATTTGCACCGATGATAGAGTAAATACATTGAAAACAAATCAAATAATTGCATTAGAATGTCTGACTTGTGTTTCCCCCGTTAGGTCAGCTTGCTCCTAAGCTAATTGCATTGCTTGTTAAATGTTAACCTTTCTGCTTGCAACAGCCCTCCACTGACTTGGGGCATGAAGTATATTTCTATATTTTCCATGCTTTTCCACTTGGCCTCATTCCCATCACATTTAAAAATCACATCCTGCTTTCAAATTATTTCTCTTTCGCACAGATGTACAAAACATCTCTGCTTTTGCGACCAAATTTTTCCAGTAACTGAAATGAAATGGCAACGTGTACAGTATGCGTGTGTTAAATCCTGCCATGGTAGTCGGCTTAAACATATGAGCGATACTTTATACATTTGTTTTATGTGCTCATACAAGCCGAATGTAGACCTTATGGAAAACACAATAACTGTACAAAGCCTGGGTTGGGCATGGAATTAGCAAAATTGCACACAAGTATAGATGCCAAGTCTCAAACATAACTTGTAAATAAATAACCGACCAATACTCTCATTTTGTTTTCTTATGATTAATTTGTTTGTGCATATTTAGCTTTCTTAGTTTGGCATTTTTTTCCCCCTCCTTTTTCAAGGTTATAAAAAATACCATTGGACTAGAAGCAAAGACTAGGACATTGTTTTAACATTTTGAAGCTCATGATTTTTTTTTACTTGATATTTTTCCCTGCACATCTGGCTTTCATTTTGTAATTATGTGGGATTGGTGGAAAAATTCAGTAGGCTCAAGCCCCAAAGAAGGGGGTACTTCTAATGCCAAACTCTTTTTGATGTTGTCATTAAAACATTCACAGGTAATCGTTATTTTGAGGAGGTAAAACAAAGGGATCATTGTATTATTGTTGGGCCTTGCCTAGCCACTTTAATAAACTATCATTAGAAAACTTCATACCGTTCAAATGAGTTTTCTAGCTCGATAATGTCACTGGCAGCAATTTTTCTTATTTATTTTTACATTTAAGCTCACATTTATTACTCGCATGTTATGCTAATCTTTTACGTAGCCTTTCACACCATAAGAAGTACACGGCATCTCAAAAATATCAGCCATATCTTGCCAGGAAGATGTGTGTTTTCGAGCATATGGAGTTTGCTTGTTCATAGGCTTTATGTGTACAGTGTAAACATTGCCTAGTCGCTGTGGTAGGTGTTCCACTGCCTTGCTCTTTGCCCTTGGCTAAGGAGCCATTGCGTAACCTAGGCGGTAAGGAGGGCCAATTGTCATTGAACTCGAGGAAAGTCACCACTCGCCAATTGTGCAAACAACTGGGTTGCAATTTTCGATTACGTTACAAATGATTGCCGCAAGAATTTCCGTCCCGCAGTATACACAAAAACAGTGTTCTCCCTACAACTGTAATCCATTCTGCCGGCACTGGCAAAAGTGTGCTTTGCTGGTTTTTCGACTCCCTTCTAAAACATGTGCACACTAAACCCACTGACTTCTTGCACTGCATCATTAAAGCCTGTGCCATTATCCACATTACAGGCCATGGCAATGTAAATAATATGTGGTGGTGGTGGGGTGGACGGGGAAAAAACGCCTGATGCCTAACGCAGGTTTTTGTGAGGAATGTTAAATCTAAGAGGATCTGCAAATTGCCGTCTGCTCCTTCAAAAAAAAGGAACCACTGCCTCTGCTGCTTGCCTCTTGGAAGTTGCCTCTTGCGTAAGGTTGTCGGCGGCGGTGTGGAAGCTGGTGCTTCCGCTCTGTTGGTTTTGCAATTCGTTTGCCGCAGTCTTTTCGCTCGGTTCTCAGGCTCAAGGAAGACAAGGGGGGGGGGGGTGTTTTGCTCATGACATCTGGGTGTACTTGACCGTACAGGTTTTATATTTGCCAAATCAAAATGCGCTTTGGTAAAAAGATGGAAGTTGCCTACCCAGCACTGTAGGATATTGTTCACCCTATAGCGGTATGAGTTATTTAATCGCATCGCACTGGTTTAAACTTGCACATTACAAAGCAGCATTTCCTTGTGTTCCTGGCTACAAGCCACCGATGTCGTAGAATCTCCTTCGTTTATTCTTACGTGAGAAAGTCTGGTTTGCACGCGCACACACGTACATGTGTGCAAATAACACACGCGCACACACACACACACAACTAGGCGCCAGGGTGACTAGTCGTCACAAAGTGGGGTTGATTGCAGCTTACACATTTGGCGGTGCCTCACTCGTAACACCATACAGACCGGTAGGATTTCAGCTGTCAAGTAAACATTGCCCCAAGAGCATTCCATCCATTCATTGATGATTTTAAAAGCGATGTTTTTTTGTTGTTTCGATTCTGTATCAATGGAGGTGGGGTGGAGGGAGGGAATATCTACAACACTATTTTGACCTCTCTGTGAAAATATATTTTCGCCAACTTTTGTTTAAAGTAAAACTCATTATTTGTATTGTTTAAATTGCATCCAGCCATAGCCCCTTTTCTACTGTTCACGGGAAGTGCACCCTACTTAACATGTCACAAACACGGGTAATGAAGTTTAAAGGGGATTGGCAATAGGGTAGGGCACATTAAAGTGAGCAGTTTTTTGTTCAATCGGGGCCTATTTGTGTTTACATTTTTCTGCCTGCATAGCTCACATGCTGAATGCATTAGAAAAGGCTGCAGGGCAGCTGTTTGGGCCTCGGCGCTTGGTACAGTATTGGCATCGCCAATAGAAACACTTAGATTCTCTAAAGTCCAAACTCATTTCATAGTGCCGTTCTGACGTTTAACGTGGCAAAATGTGCTCTTGCAGACCGTCAGCTGGAAAATGTAAAAAAAAATGTTAAACTTCCACTCCGTGACATACTCTGGGTGGGTGTTTCCCTAATTTTCACAGTTGCTCAAGAGCTGAATTCGACGTTTGTTAAACGTGCCCATTGCTTCTGTGTTTTATTTGTTGACCTCCCACCACACATTAGTCATACTTTTGCAGAGTGAACATCGTGGCTGTTGCAGTGTGTTGATAAGAAAAAAGGTTTGTTGTTAACATAATATTAAATATTTTGTTACAACTCTTTTGCTCTTGCTATCCATTTCCTGTGGGTAGTTTAGCCAACTTTGTTGCAACATTTGTTTAAAAACAACAACATACATTTCATGTAAAAAAAAAACTAATAGAACTTTGCACTTGTCACCCAAGGCATAGATATGATAGCTGTCTGTGTATTTATTGATAATTTGTTTAAACATTTGCCATGCATTATACGTTTCAGATATTTAAAGCAAATTCCAATTTACAGATATCTAAAATTAGTCAAATTTTCTGATATTTTGTCATTCTGAAAGTTGGCATCACTTTCTAATACAAATCCATAGGCTACATTCAGCTGACCTCGCTCTTTCCACACTTCTGAAATTCTTAGTGTAACCTTTAGCCCTGGGAATTAACGGCGATGGCAGACAGGTGTTCCAAACACGACGGAGAGTAATTACCATAGCATGCCAAGAAAATAGCAACATTGCCTAAAAAGAGAACATTTTGTGCGAATTGAAGGTCTTTGTATTTGCAAGTTTAACTTTTCTTTCCATTGGGACTACAATGCTGTATTGTTTTATTTTTAATGCTTCTTTTAAATTTCTCACCAGCTGATGGGTAACTAGTCTCATCTTTGGAACAAATTGGTGACTTGTGCTTAATTTGCAGTCTCATCTGCCTGATGTGATCTTTGTAGTGGCTTAATATTTGTGGGGGGGGGGGGGGGGGTTAGAAGGCAGCAGGTCAATGCCGTAAGTTCATTCAGAGTTATGTTTGATCCCCTGGTGGACTTTACCATGTGTCAACATTCCAGTGCTTTTTCATGTTGAACCAAATAAACTTAGAAGATCCTGTTCTGAACTTGAACCTATAAGCTTAATGCTGTCATACGGGGCACAGAGTGGACCTGACTACTGTGGCAGTTACATTTTTGAAATGCTGCAGCCTGCAGGAAAAAGTCTTATAATTTATTTTAATCTGTTAAAATATCGCTTAATCTTCACACCTGCATGAAATTGCTGACCGCAAACTTTTACATTAAAGCATCAGACAAAGGAGCTCTTTTTAAATCAAATGTGCAGGACATGTTCCCACATGTTCACAGAGGCAAGACAAATCATGATCATTCCTTAGACTCCAAAGAATGATCGTACATTTTTTTCCCTGTGTGCCTCGAGAGTGGGACATTTCACGGAAAGAAAACAAGGCTCAGCCGCATTTATGTAGGTCAGGTATTTAAAGTGGTCCGTTGCCAGCAATATTATATAATTTCCATCCAAGCAAAGTCATGAGAACATACATTGTCGGGACCAAGTTTGAGCAAAATCCTTGACGGGACTTGCATTTGTTACTAGGGTCGGCGCCCGTGCTAATTCTTCGCGGCGTTGCTTCGTTTTGGCGTGGCAGACGGCGACCGACAGCTCATCGGCATCCAGTCGCAGGGAGCCACCACCGCCGAGGCCCGTCGAGCCGTGCCGGGGCCGCTGTCTGGTGCGGCCCGCGCACGAGGACTACCGCCACATGGTGCAGCTGCCTTCGGAGCGCGTTGTGCAGGTCCGTCTCAACTGTTGCTCACCCAGTCCTCCTCCTGCACTGGGCGCCGCGGTGGCGAGATGTTAACTACCTCGCCTGGTATGCGGGAGGGTCGTGGGTTCGATCCACACCCTAACGCTTGCTGCTATATATTTGGAATTTGCGGGTTCGCTCTCCTCGTGGTCGCATGGATTTTTTTCCGGGTCCTCCGGTTTTTACAAATTTAGAATCGATGTGTTTAGAGTATTTGGCTCCTTAAAATTTGCACGCAATAAGCCACTTCGTTGAGCTGTCATTTGTGGCTAAGTCGCTTCTGAAAAAAATCTATATAGCTTAGTGGGCCTTGCCTGATAAAATAAAAAATAGTTTAGTTGATATGGTGTGTCCTTGAAATATACCATGTACCCATAAATTAAAATAATTGAAGCGCACTCCCCCGAAGCTCAGTTTTGCGAAGCGATGCTGACTTGTTGCGTGGCTGAAATCTCCGTGCTGTGCAGAAACGTCACGTGCCAGGCAGTTCCAGTTTAGTCACTCCTTTTGCATTGGATCGCATGTTTCCCGAATTGCCTTGTGGTATTTGTTGAATTCAGTCGTGTTTTTTTTCCTTAACCTTTACAATTGCATGTAACATTTCAAGCTGTAAATGGACTAAATGTCTTCATGGAAATAATGGGGTTCTTCAGGAGGAGGACTTCTTCACAATTATGGCTATCGCCTGCTGATGAAGCTGGTTGTGATCACCAGCGAAATGTCGTACTCTAATTATAAATGTTGAGTGGGTTTACTCTCCAGCACACCGGTGTGCTGAAGTAGTGGCAATTTGGCACGTTTTGTGTACGTGACAAACCCGACGAGTTGGCGGTGTCAGGTGGTGGTGGGTTTAACGACACATTGAAAATGTACGCGATATAACCCATTATGGATAAAATGCTTGGGCACCCCACCGCTAAATTAGCCATGTTATGTGGCTGTGACATGCGGTGTCGTAACCAAAGTGGGGTTTCTTTTGAAGACCCTCAAAAAGTCAGCTTCTCAAGTGTTATTTTAATACCGGAATGCTGGGCTTAGATTAACGCCCCCTAAAGTTTTCATTCAGTCCCCACTTGGTTTTATGACTCATCGTACCCTTCATTCCAACCGCGACCGGATGAACATCGGTGGCATTGTTGAGCCATTCGCAGCTGGGGAGGTGTGGACGTGCAAAGATGTTTACCTTTCGATTTAAAGCTTTCGTGACTGCAGGGATTCATTTTCTTGGTTCTTTCGGTAAAGTCACGTAGAAGGGAAATAATAATGCGTTGTGGTCGAAACGTCGTGAGAATTGTATTTTATTATGTAGTATTTTTATTATTTCATTATTTCCCTTCTACGTGACTTTACCAAAAGAACCAAGAAGATGTTTACCTTTTTTAAGCTACGTTGTCTGCTACATTAAAGAGAGAGGTGTTCGAGTTGTCCGTGAGCAATTTTACATTTGTTCAGGCTTCATTGTTGACAAGCGTAGCCATTCCCTTTCCACTGTTTGATGAAGGCCTCCGCAGGCCAGTGGAATTCCTCATGCTCTCGTAAAACCACAATGCACTTCACTCCTGCACAAGACCTCGTCTCGCTATGCCATCTTTGCGGCGGTTGTCCTTCCCAGCTTGTTCTTTCTTGAATAATACCATTCTGTCACGCAAACTCCAGTCATCCTTGCAGCGGCTTTTTACTCAACCATCGAACAAAAGATCGTCACTGCATCGCTCGCATTCAGATGCGCTTCTGTGGCTGTCTGGAATGCTCTTTTGATATTAGGAAGCCACTGGAGGCTATGCACTGTGACATCTAGATTGAAAACTCATTTTGTACAACTGCTTTTTGTGTTTAGTTTGTTGTCCTTCCCCCGCACCTCTGATTTAGCATCGTTGGCTACATACTGTGTAGAAGTTCAGCATACAGTCTTATCCATCGGCCATTATTCCTTCTCGTGATAGGTCCTTACCCAAGCCCACTATCGTTGACGGATAATGTATCCGACTTGTGTGTCTTCTCCGATTCATCTGTTTCTCTCTCTGTCTCCAAGTGAAATTCCAGGCATGCATCTCCCCACGCTTCTCTGCATGTTTTTTCAGCTTTTGCTCTCTTTGTCAGTGTCTGCATTTGTGGTCCATGTCATAGCAGGTAATATGCAATGATTAAAAACTTTCTTTTACAGGCACAAGGATGTGCTGCTTTTCATGATGACATTCAATTTTCCAAAGACGCTAAACTCTGCTCTTGTTCACCTTCATCTTTATTTATTTATCTCGTAAAAAAAAAAATTCCCCAAATCCTCATTCAGCAATTTCCCTAGTTTCACATTTTATGCTGCGTTTTCTTCTAACGGAGTCCTTCCAACAATTATTTACTTTTGTTCAGCGACCTCTTGTTATGCATGACAAACATATAAACGCAGATATTCAACACAATGTATATTTCTGAACGTGTTGCACAGAAACTATTTGCTAATATTGTCAGCTTTATACGCACGAAACAATCTTTATACACTTGAACATTTGTGCGGTGTATATGTAATAACGCTCTAATTATTGCAATGTAAGATTCCTCTGATTGAAAGTACAACTGGGAAATGGTGCCAGTTGCCCTCTGGCATGTTCAGAACGGTAGAACTTAAAGAGGGAAACGGCTGGCCCTAATAGCTTGTAAGTTATTTCACCTGGAAAAGGAAAGGGGGCTTGCGCATTGTCAGTAAACGTTCTCGGAAGAGCGGCCACATGCACGGTCTCACGGGGGGTTACTTGGTAAACAGGGTGACAGGTTTGACTAATCCGAGTGCACCTGCAAAAAAAAACCACTGTACTGGGGCACGTCCGTTGTCCTTGGCAGTCTTTTTTTATTTATAAAACCTGCTGCGTACGTTTAGTAATCTCCCTTTGCTTATTCGGAAGCCGCACGCCGTTGTCATTTCCAATCTGTAAAATATGCACGGGGCTTCTCCTAACAAACGCCAACCATTGTTAGATTTCTTGTTTGGAAAACGGAATAAACACACGGTTTAATAATTAACGTTGTTTGATGCTGAAGGAAATTACCATTTTCCTCCTGTGTATGCTGATGTTTAGTTTTGTAAACCAAACCTATTTTCCAGAGTGCGTCTGTGACGACCATTTCCTGTGGACCCGTTCGGAACACTAATGTATTTTGCATGTGTGCAAGCACATTGTATACGCTCCATGCATTTGGTTTGCCACCTGCTGGGAACTTTCAGAAATTACGTTGATAAAGCTGCAATCTTTTGAACAGGAAATCCAATCAACTTCCGATAGAATGAGAACTTTTCATATTAGATTCAGAAGGGTCTTTAAACGCATTGCATTCTCTCGCGTTTATTCCCCTCCATAAAAAAAATTGCCTTACACGGCTTGGTCTGCAAATGAAAAATCACTCGTTTCTCACGTCTCAGGATTTACAGTCCACACATTCCCCGAGGCAGGTTTCAAAAGGTGCACATCTCGTGTCTGTTGTACGCATTCAAATGAAAAACGTCTTCCGTGGCCTGTGTGGGTGTGCCACGGTTAATTCACATTGCCTTTCCTGCCTTTGTCTGTTTATCCTCTTCGCCATTGCCCGTGAGAGCAGAAGGTAGTCAGCTTTGACGAGAGTGACCTCATCGAGAGGATCAATCCCCTGGAGGAGCGCTGGTTGCGAAGCGGCTACGAGGACTACCGCCACACCGCCGTGTGCCGCCGCGAACTCGACGCCGACGCCGGCGCCGGCTCCTACGTCACCTTTGACAAGTCGCCCTCTGCCGCCGATCACCACCACCACCACAAGAAGCACGAGTACACGTACCCCTACGTCGACGCTTACCGCCTCGAGAACAAGCTCCGGGTGGTGCGCAACCAGCCACGGCGGGGCCACCGCTGGGACCCGGGGGAGCCGAGCGGCGAGCGCGCTCGCTGCATCTACTGCGGCGAGCTCTTCGACCCGTCGCGGCCGGGACGGGCGCGCCGTTGCGCCGACGCACCCGACCGCGCCCGCGTTTGCGTGGAGCGTGCCAGCTGCCTGTGGCTGGCCGAGACGGTGCTCTACCACTGCATGTCGGACCCAGAGGGGGACTTCTCGGACCCGTGCTCGTGCGACGGAGATGGCGATGGGCGTGTCTGCCAGCGCTGGTTTGTGCTGGCCGGCCTGTCCCTGCTCGCGCCCTGTATGTGCTGCTACCTGCCGCTGAGGGGCTGCTACAATTGCGGGGTGGCATGTGGTTGCTGTGGAGGCAAGCACAGGGCAGTGATTTAATAGAGCGGCTCGGGGAGAGAGAGACAAACTTTTTTTTTTTTGCGGAATGTCCGGCTCCACCTTCTGCAAAGCCCTTGGGGGAATTAAATCGGGATGAATAAAGAAAAACTACCCGTGTGGATTGAAACTACGGACTAGGCCTCTCGACCCCAACTTTAACTGGACCTGTATGTGTGAACAAACGTCGCCTTAGTCATTATTGCGAAGCGCCACGTCACATGGCAGAAGATGAAAGGGACATTTGATTGGGTTTACAAATCATTAATGTTGACTTGTCGCTGATTAAAAAAAAAACTCAACCAGTTTATCCCAATTAGCGGGTGCAACATAGTAACATCAGACACTTGTATGAACCGAGTTTGATTTGAATCGTTATGATGAAGAAAGCAAAATCTTGTGGCCTTTTTAATGTTGATGTGTGCTTGAAATTGTGAGATAATCAACCCTGGTAGTACTATAATATTGGAACAGTGTACTGCACTTTACGTCTTTAATGGTAATGTTGAACACGTCAACCGGTTGTTCTTGACCTGAAAAATGAAACAGTATTAAAATTACAATTGTCCTTATAAAAACCATGGAAAATGTAAGTACATTTTTATTTCTATCATTGTCAAAGCTGGGCATCTTTAAACTAAATGACGTAACTTTTCATTAAGGTTGTATCTTGATAGTGAAAATGTAATTGTTGATGCTTGATGACTTTGCAATATCTTGATGTTGAGAAAAACAACTAAAGATGCCATTTAAAGGCAAGTTGCACATCAAGTATTACGTGCGTGTTGCTCAGAACATCAATCATGAATAATAATAATATTGGGACTAATATGTAATTAAAATTTATTGAGTTTTTATAACCTTAAAGAAAGTTACAGGAACTGATTTTCTGTTTCTCTCTCTGTTCACCTTTCATTGCGGGGAAGAGAAAAAACCCAACACTAATCAGCTTTTTGAGCGTCAAGCACCATACATGCCATGACGCGTCATCCACCGATGAATGTTGCGGAAGGCGGCACACAACTCTGGTTTCAACATTTGGCTTTTTTGAGGTGCGCAGACGTGTGAACCTGGCGATGCACGTTTTGAGGCTTGTGCGCATGCCACAGCAGTCCACGGTCGAGCAGCCGTGGGTGGTGTGGTGGCATAGAATGAGGCCAGTGGTGCCGCGCTTCAAGTGGTGCTTTGTTCAAAGTCCGTCCCAGAAACAAAAATATGGCTTGTTTACAAAAGTGCGTACAGCTAGGGTTTCCACTTTTGTTATTTAAACACTCAAAGCTTGACTTGAACGCCACCAACAAAAACAATATCACTTAATGTGTTTCTAAAAAAAATTCCTTTTTTACATAGTTGCTATAAAAACATGAGCAGAAAAAAAGTCCAATAGTTTCCATAGAAATTAGAGGTATTAATAAAATGTATGATATTTTTAGCTGCGCTGGCATATGTAACTTGTACAACACTTTAACTTCGATGAAGTGCCATTCCCTGCATTCTGAGGTTCATGTTTTATTTTATATAATTATTGGCAAAATAAATTACAATTGCCATTAGTCGTAAGTATTGTTAACTCATAACCTCCTTGTACACCAAGCACAGCTGTCTGTTGCGGTTTATTCCACTTGATATGTGTACGCATGAAACTGAATGCCTTTGTTCATCTGTGCTGTGTGAGTTAATGAATATGATTTTGCATGTAATGAAGCTGTACATTCTTTTTTCAGGGACTGTAAATATGATTATTACTTTGGTTTTATTTTTCTATACACAAACTGTCTTATAAATCTAGTAGCAGCTGGACTACATTTAAGTCTTTTGTTGTTAATGAATATGCTTTTGTTAATCCTGCAAACACTTAATATCATTTTTATTGCTGTACATTATAATAGTGTTTCATATTCCACATTGTTTTGTTACATATGGAAACTGGTATGTATATTAAAGACTTAGGTTAAGGTCTGAAAACATTTATAATGCCACATGTTTTGCTTTGTTGATTATATATTTACGTGTATGCTTTTGTAGTTGTACATTGGAATATTAATAAGTAATTAATATTATTCTATTATTCCCAGTGATCCTACGGGTTTTTTGAAAATGGATATTCCAATCGGTGGCATCAAAGGCCTTGTACACACGTTTGTTTATATTTAACCATTATTATTTTTTACCAACTTGTATGCAACACGTTTCTTTTAAAAGGGTTTACTGAAAACTTCATGTCCATACTGTGGGTAACTTTATTCGTGACATTTTATTAAATTGACAATCTACGAGCGTCGGCTATGGTTAACATGTGTTGATGCCAACTACCCAAAGTGAGACAAAACCATCATTTTAAAAAATAAAACTGAACTACTATAAGGCAGATGTTTTCAGTAGCGGCTCGACGTGTGTGCACAGGTGGATGGAGCGGCCTTAATATGCTTAGAAAATGTTTAAAAGCATTTACGTGTGTACGATGCCAGATTAATCCTGAATGGCTTCTGGTTATAAGCAATGCCATATTCGGGTTGTTTTATTTAAATCCATTCCATCATACAAAAATCAAGTAATGCAAGTAAAATGCTTTGGTTATTATAACCACTTATTTAACTACCTTATTTGTTTATGTATATGGTTTATTTCACAGTGGTACAATTTGCATTTCATTGCATTGGGTGCAGGCTCAAACTATTGTAACTGCTTGAATTCACTCCAATTTGGCAGCTTGTGAAACACTCGGTGGGTGGTGCATCCCTACACGTGTGCATGTCCGCTCAGGCGTTCTCTCTCCATTCAACTGCTTGACTTTTGGCGATGTGGCTTAACCGTGCCCCGCAAGAACCGAGTAGCAGGCGCTCACCAATGAGTTTCAAGACACTTTTGTGCTTTGCTATATTCTGCAGACAACAGTTTTGCGTGCAGGTGCGGTCAAAATGAGGAACTTCATCGGGTTACTAATTGAGTAAAATGCATGCTTTTCTGTTATTTACTTGCAGCTAAAATCTCTTTCAAACTGACCAATACCATACTTGAATACGAGCCGAGTCACCTTTTTGGAATTGGACAGAGGCATTGCGGTCTTATCTTCCAAGTTTCCTCGGTTTAATGGCTATGGTTCGAGCAGGATGTTAATAACCAACCTTGCATATTGAAGCTTTGGCAAAGTTCACAGTCTGGCCACCAGCTTTGGGATGTTATTACCAGTCGGCAGGTCAATGCATGGGCGGGTGATACCATTATTAAAGGTTGAATAAATAAAACGGAATAGTACACTAACTTTTTAAACGTTTTGACACGTGTCATTTTATGCTTTCCCCAAAAGAGTTGCTATGTCAATTGGGTGGGCCTAGTTGTGATTTTACCGAAAGTTAACGTGTGCTAGGCTGCCACGTTGGAGTGAATGTTAGGAACATAGCATTTGGTTCTCAGTATACCCCGACACCATATTGGTACGCATTTTGTAGTGTTATTGTTCTGCATCATTGCACACATTAACATATAATGCAAAGAAAACCCCACTAGTTTTGGCTTTTTATTTCCTATTAAGATTCATGAGATAAAAATCATAAACGTGTTGAACTTTACTCTTTGCAATATTGGTAGTTGAGATTACATTTGTATAAATAAATTAAAACCGACATGAATTGATGTAAATGCATACAAAACAAAGCCTTACATTTTCGGGTTAATGTCTGTCGATCATCTGCTTTGAGATGGTTAGGTGGCTTGTCAATGAGACCTTGATAACTTGTTAATATTCAAGAAAGCATTTGGCTTTGTATGCAGCTCTCGTATCCAAAGTTGTTTTCACCATTTTCCAAATTTAACCCGTTCGGAATGCCCAAAATTATCTTCAACTCGAAGCATATTTTTCGTTGTACTAAAATATATTGCGGTAAGAGTACTGTACGCCAAAACAAAACATTTCATTCAGAGGAATTCAATGTTTGTGGATATTTTCTCTGGCACTTTGTTTAACTGGTCTGATCTAATGTGATGTCGGAAACATTTTAAAGAGGCAAAGCGGTTGAATATTGTTTTTGTGGAAATTAAAATTATTTTACTTTCGTAAAATGAACAACAGTGGCCTCTAACATTTTTTAATTAAAATTGTTCTTGCTCTAGTTTCTTCCAGCCATTACTACTTTATTTAGGGATCGGATTTATTGGCTTTAACTGAGGATTTCTCTTTGCCAAAATGTAGTGTTTCTAAGTCCACTTGTTATTTGGTTCGGTCTAAAGCGAGGTGACCACTGTCAGTGTCAGACATCGTTTATGCCATTACCATGATTTTGTAAAACAAACTATTTTACGTGTAATAAAAGCAACGACAAAAAATTCCTTTAGAGCATGGAAATGTTAATGTCTGTAAACAATTGTTGAATTTGGCCAATCGCACTTGGTGAGTTAAAGGGAAAAAAATCCGAACACTTTGCAAAATGAAAAATGTTCCTGAATAATGGTACACTATAAAGTTTTTGACACCGCTGCATATTAAGCACAGGAGAGTTCATTCTATATGAATCCGTACATTTTTGTCGATATGAAGGTACACTTGTCCTGTTTATTTGCATTTGTAACATTATTTCCGAGTCATGTAATTGGCTATATTTTAAGAAAATATATTTACTTGAACACAGTTTTGATTTAATGTTAAGGTTTTTCGTTGTAAACTCAAGTATACTTTTTATGTTTGGTCGTGCTTGTTCCACTATTCCTAAATGACATTCTGATTTACCTTTGCATTTCTTGTAGCTATGGTATATGACTTTAATTTTAAAAGTACCGTATAGTAAAGCACTTTTATCTGTAGCATTAAGTTAATTATTTTCTATGCTACACTATATTAAGCTCACAGAACATGCTCTGCAGAAATGAAAGGTGCTGATATGTAAATGCATTTGCTTGCCATATAGGCAGCATTTCATTGAAAGAAAGAATATTCTTGCAGGTCACAGGTTGAGTCATTGTGAATTGTGTACATTTTCGTCCAGAAATACGTGTTACTGTCTAGTATAATGCCTTGCTGTCAGTGCCATTGCTAAAATAAATGAATAATTAGTATTTGAGTTGCCTAATACTACATATTACAACTCGGTCATCAACAGCCATGGTCAAGCCACTGCTGGATGAAGGCCCTCCCAAGTCATTGCCGTCTTTTATGTTCTTGTGATGCTATTATCTCGCTTTTGCACGAGCGCTAATCTCATCGCTTCATCTCTGTTGCTCATCTTCCTGGGTGTCCTCTCTTTTGGCTGTCATTCCACCACCAGTCTCCTCTTAGCCATCATTCCTTCTAACGATGTGTGCTACCCAAGATCACTTTTTTTACCAGTCGGTGTCTTAATTTACATTTGTTCTGTGATTAAATGTTTTCCTCATTCTGTGTTTTTTTTTTAAATTCCCAGCATGCATCTCTCCATGCATTTTTGTATACATATTTTAGTTTCATCTACTTTGTCAGTTTCCAATTTTCCAATCTGTGTCATATCGGGCAATATCAACCGATTGAAAATGCTCCTTTTTAGGCACATTGCTGTATTGATTTTCATTATTAAATTCAATTTAACCTGCTCTTGCTCACCTCTTTATTGTATAATCGAATCCCTGCCCATCTTTATTGATTGCCAAAGGCGTGTATATACATACATACACCATTGTGTTTTCCAGTAGTGGTCCTCCAACGATTGATTTTGTTCATTGAACATGTACGTGCCTTTTTGCTATGCTTTAATTTCTTTAGCCCAGACTTTGCAACATTTAAGTTTATAAATTATCTCCTGTAGTTAATTTCTCTTGGTTGTAATACCTATGCCATCTGCAAACCTGATGGTTAATTTTTTCTCCATTTATATTCAATTCTTTATCCAATTAATTTTCTGGAGGGAAAAAAAGTTACGTCACTAAATAGCCTTGGTGAGAGATCTGCTTGCTGCAATCCTCCTGATTTGTATGTTGTTTCTTTTTCAATCTCAGAGTAGCTGTTCCACCATAGTGTTTTTCTTCTTTCATTTATATATTAGTAAGGACTTGATTTGTGAGAGCTTAGATGACTATCACTTGCCACTGAATGAAATACAATGTTATAGTCTGCAATATCCAGGCGTAATGGCGGTCCCATTGCAAACAATATTTATTATTTCAGTTTCCATATTACAATAACATTACGAAGACCATGTAAGCCACAGTAAAATACATATGGTAAGAATTTCAATAATTACTGAATTTGTTGGTAAATATCGACATTTATATCCTTTCCCCGACCTCCAATTAGCATGGTTGGCTATACAGAGGGCGTTATATACAACGGAGATTTACTTACGACAGAGGGCAATCAACCGTGGAGGGTTAGTGATTAGTTGATCCGTGGGAGCGAGATAGATTGTGTCATCAGGAATTACTGAGGACCTAGTCAGGGCTTCATCCAGCAGTGGATAGATTTGAGGTTTCTGCAGCCTCGATTACCATTAATATTCTCACTTTATTCAGATATGACTGAATAACCAAATAAAGTTAGAATAGACAAGTTCTTATGATGAATGACCATACACTTTAATTCTTCACTGCATACATTCATTCGAGTTCTGGGTTAAATACCTTTTGACAGACACTATTTATGAAGTTAAAAACAGCAACAAGTCTTATTTGAATTTAACATGTAGGCTTTCACAACCAATGTTAATCATTGATTGTGATTAATTAATTTTGGGTCGGATCTTGTACAGTGCAAATGTCTTGTTCACGCACCTCCGCACGAGTCAAGTAAAATCTCGTTAACAAAAAGTTCAATATTATTTTACAATTAAGTTATGCGTTGTGGATTGCTCTTCAACGTATCGGTGTGCTGTAGCAATAATAACGCGCTCGTTCACGTGGTAACTTTATTTGCCTGTTGGGTGGAGGGTACAATACACACATTGACATTGTACTCGCGTGATCTGACGAAAATTTTCAATTACGAATCAAGTTTCGATTTAAAGCTTTCGTGACTGCAGGGATTCATATTATTGGTTCTTTCGGTAAAGTCACGTAGAAGGAAATATGGAAAAAAACGCCACTGTTTTTCAAATTTTCTTGCTGTGGTTTTCACACTCGATTATGATTGCTTGTGCTGCAATCGAAACGTCGTGAGAATTTTATAGTTTTATTTTTATAATGTTATTATTTCCCTTCCACGTGACTTTACCGAAAGAACCAAGAATACGAATCAAGTGTTTTGCTTTTTTTTTTATCAGTTTTGCATTTGTGACCATTTCACGGCAAGCGACATCGTAGGCAAGACTGTACTACAACAAGCATGACTGCAAAAAGATGTATCTTCAAGTTTAAGTCAACATTGCAGATTCAGATCAGTTTTGCAAATAGTAAATTGTGTTTTTGCTGCCTCTCGGTCACATTTCAGTGTGGTTTAGAATTATTAGAAATGCTGAATGGGATAACTGGAGACCATCCCTGAATAGAGGAATTCCCTCGATTTACGAATGCGGGGTGCCATGCACGTGGAGGCGTTAAAGTGACGGTACAACGATGGAGGTTGCTTCACTGCCCTCTGCTGCCCAACCATGTAGCCCCAATTCCGCGAGCCCAATATGATACATCGATTTGTGACTCTTAGGTTTTTTCGGTAAAGCCACGTCGGTAAAAATAATAAAAATAAAAGAATAAATGAAAATAAATCAATTAAATCACGACGTTCCGGAGGCAACACAAGTCTCCGTCTTCAGGTGGGACCGTCACAGCTAAAATCTAGAACTCGATTTGAGACTGGTCAACTCAAGCAATGCAGCAGCGGCAGCAGGGTCAATTAGCGAGTACCTATGAAGGCCAGCACCACTCTCGACCGCCTTTGTCTCTCCAGGTACTCATTTGAGGTGGAGTCGACCTCGTGATGGCTCAAAGACCAGTTCAGATAATCGTCGCTGGTATTGGCCGTGAGCGGGAATTGAACTGGGTTGGTTATTGCAGTGCGCTAGCCGCTACAACTACCGCTCACTCAACAACAGCAGCTGCCATTCGCCACGAGGTGGCCGGCGGTGACGTCTCCACGGCGCACGTGCCAGGCCAGGTGCACTTTGAGGCCACGTAAAGTGTCGAAAGCTCGTTGACAGGTCAAGCGAAACATATCCAGGTGCCATGGGTTCACTGAGATGACTGGCAAATGCACCCAACTGCTGTGCCAACTTTTTCTGTATTTTAATCGCCCGGCGTTCCGCTCGTTGTTGTGAGCGTCACTCCTCTGCCCTCCGTTGTTGTTGCTGGAGGGCGACTGCCTCTAATTGCCCAGCAGCGTCCTTCACCAGCCTCCTCCTCCACAGAGGCCGATCTTGACACCGCTGGTGCCGGTCATCGGCAAGTCCACTCAGCTCCACAGCCTTCCGTACCGCATCAGCGATCTCATCTCTTCTCGAGCCCGTGCAGTGCCCGTTTTGGTCCCCCTCTATCCGGCCAAACAGAGGCTGCTTGGGCATGCGGTGGCTGGGCAACAGCGCTCATCAAAAGGCTGCTGTGTCCATACATGTCCACCAGAGGGCATGTGCCTCGCTGTGACTTTCGCCTTATATTCTTGGGTCTTTCGGTTTTATTATTTTATTACTTCCCTTCTACGTGACTTTACCGAAAGAACCAAGAAGATGAATCCCTGCAGTCACGAAAGCTTTAAATCGAAAAAAGCTTTAAATCGAAGGTTAAAATAAAATAACAAAATTAACAAAATAAAATGTAGTTATTTTCATTTATTATTATTATTTTTTTACCTACGTGACTTTACCGAAAAAACCTAACAGTACGACGTTTCGATCGCAACACAAGCGATCACCAATATGATTAAAAAAAAGAGCGAGGAAAGCTGCTGGTGCCGGCTGTTTTAAAGGTTTGAAATGGGTGCTTTGTGGCCGCACATTTTAACGCCTCGGTGGGCACAGCATGGATCTGAGTGGCCGTCCACACGGCGCCTCCCGCGCGAGCAACATCCCCGTTGACAATGGGCATTGCGTGCGTGGCTTGTAACAGCAACGCAAAAGCCATGTGGCGTGCGTGAAAAACCTAAGAACCGTGAAGAATTGCGTGATGAACGACAATTCTCGCGCCCCCTTCGCCCGCACTGATTCTATAAATTGGGCTTGAATGTCACCGATATATATTTGTTTTTGCACATTTTTTTGTAACTGCCCCGGTTCACAAAATTGTTAAGGAAACGTCAATAATCCATCGGCTGGAATGGAATCGATACTGGAAGTCGTCTCTGGAGAAATCGAATCGAGGGCCACGTGACCGCGGAACCACGCAGCCCCGCCCTCGCAAGACCGGAAGTGACGCGACGTCACGCGCGCGGACTTCCGGTTGTACAGCGGCAAGTCGGCGGCACTTACGCTCGGCGAAGTTGAAGTTGGAACGACCGCAGGACGTTTCACAATGGTACGATGTTTGCAAACGCTTGCCTCTTCGCTTGACCGAGGTCGTCTGACTCTCGCCAATGATTGTCGTGTGCTTGCCACGCGCGCTCCGTCGCTTTGCGAGTTGAGGCCTCGAGGCGCAGCCTGCCTTGCCTGGTTTCTCCGCCGCCCTCGGCGCCGCCACGACGGGCAGCGAGAAGCAGCCGAAGGGGTAGGCGTGGGTGTGACCGCCCGGTGTCTTGAGATTTCACCGGATAAAACAAGGGGGCTGTTTTATGTTATTCAATGTGGGGGAAAGTGTGTTGATTGTATGCGCTCTCGTGAACCCCACCTACCATTTGTAGGTTTAAGATACGTGATACTGTTATAGCGGCATCGTTTATGCAGGGAATCCTTACTGATTCTCAAGTGTCTGGGGACGGTCCTGCTACACTCGAATGGGTTTTCGCCAATTCCAAAACGACGACTATATTAACAGCGGGATTGCTGTTCAAGTGAAGGGACTATGTTGCAGCGGTGCACACACACATACACGTACACATGCAAGAGCATCACATGAGTCGTTACCGCTACCAGAGAACGCGAATAGGCGCGTTCTCTGGTAGCGTTCTCTGGTAGCCACTGTCGTGTTGAAGGATTTACTACCCAGTCGTTAAGAGATTGCGCCTTCAAATGCATTAACAGCGCCAACACATTTAGTTTCGTTCGTTATTTTAGTGGATTTTTTTTTTACAGCCGTATTGGAATTTGCCTAAAATGAAATTTTGTCATTTCAATCACCATTTTTGCCTGAGGTTGAATGGCTGACAGTCATACACTAACGACCCATCTATTAATATGTATTATTTTGGTCGCGCTAATACTCTGTACGCTTAGATTATTGTACAGGTTCACGTGCATACTGTATGTTCACGTTACTTTTGCATCGGGTACATTTATCGAAATGAATGTTGCATCAACATTAACCTGACAGTCGCTTTCGAATAACAAGGGGGACGTATTGTTGCATGGCTGCCAGTGTCAGGAATTTTTGGGCTTTAAACGCTCTATAACGCGGTGGTCTGGTCATTGTAAACTTTGCAATTAGCAGTTTTAAACTGTTCATCTGTCAACTTAAAGTCCCTAAATGGAAGTTTAGCAAGTGCATCCATTCCATTGGAACATTCTTTGCCAGT